CACTCAATTTTGAGCTCAAAGTTGACCCAAAATAAGCCATATAAAAACCAATTTTCCAATGGGCTTTTCTCTTGCTTCATCCTGCTTGGCTAAGCTTGGGCTTGGGCTTAGGCTTGGACTTGGGCTTTGGGCCAATGTTTTTCACTCTAGGCTTTGGATTATTGTTTTTGCCCCTCCACAAGTATTACATTAAAAATTGTTTTTTAACATAAGTTTTTTTTATCTTTAGCATAATTACATGATCTTTTTAGATTTGTAGAATATCTTTAAGACTTAAATATAGTACAAGTTGGATTTTATATAGAAAAACCTTTAATTTCAATTCTCAAATAAAAAAAATGAAAACTTTAATACATTACATTAAAAATTGTTTTTTTTTTTATATAAATTTTTTATTTTTGCATAATTTCATGATCTTTTTTGATTTGTAGAATGTCTTTAAGACTTAAATATAGTACAAGTTGGATTTTATATAGAAAAACCTTTAATTTCAATTCTCAAATAAAAAAAATGAAAACTTTAATACATTACGTTTTTTTTTTTATAAAAAATTTTTTTTTTTGCATAATTACATGATCTTTTTTTTTTTGTAGAATCTCTTTAAGACTTAAATATAGTACAAGTTGGATTTTATATAGAAAAACCTTTAATTTCAATTCTCAAATAAAAAAAAAATGAAAACTTTAATACATTCGTACTAATATTTTTTACCCCCAAAAAATGTAAATACATAAAATTCTACATAATCGTCTCACCATTATTACTATCAAATAGTACATTAATTATTTTTAAAATATGTAGCCAAACAATTAGTAATCAATTGATCTCATATTTGGTTGTGCAATTAATTTCTTTTTATTATTTATAAGTCATTCTTGAATACTATTGGTAGAAACAAATATAATTTGCAAATGAACCAAGCTATTCATGAACAAGCTCGACTCGGCTCGTTAACGGCTTGGCTCGGCTCATTTAGTAAACGAGTCGAGCTCGAGCTCGAATATTAGGCTCGCTTAGTAAACGAGCCAAGCTCGAACTCGCATAAGCTCGGCTCGTTTATCTTTATTTAAATAATATATAAATAATTATAATATAAATACATTATTTATATATTAAATAATATAAATAATATTTTTATTTAAATAATATTTTTAAAAAAATTATCGAGCTGAGCCGAGCCGAGCTCGAGCCCAGTTCCTTATCGAACCGAGTTCGACCTCAATAAACAAACTCGATAAGTAAACAAGTCGAGCTCGAGCTCAGCAAAACGCAGTTCGGCTCAATTCGTTTGTAACCCTACTTATGAATATGATATTCATATTTGTCTCTACTAATTGTTTTAGTAAAATCATGAATTCTTTGACGTACTAAAACTGGTTGCACGCATATGAACAACATAGTTATGAAATTGATTCAAGGAAAATAATACAATTATGTATTGAAATCTCCAATAAAACAACCACAATTATAATACCAAAGTATTATACTAAAACTAGCATCCAAATATATATAGATATATATACCCTAAAAGAGAATTAGAGAAGAGACAAATTAAAAAAAAAAATTAAAATAATTAATTCTAGATGTATACATATATATGCATGCAAGCAGTGGGCGTAAACGTAATATGTTTGCAATTCTACATTTAAATTTGTTAGTGATTTGATGAATGAGAAAGATGGGTTGAATTTAAAATTTGATAATAGTTATATACTAAAGAGTTAACAATTTGAACATTCTTAGAAAGAATAAAAATAGTGACAGAATGTTAAAATTATTATGATTTCCGTACTTTAAATAATAGAATAGATTTATTCAACTACAAAAATTGAACGGGAAATTATACTATATACATACTTGAAAGGGGTGTACCATATGCACCTCTAGTTATACCATTTTCTTCTTTAGTTATGATTAATTTTCTTATTTAGTTATGATATTATCACGAGATCTTTGGTTATGCCTCATGTGGTGCTTGGTTGTGACTTAGTGTAGAAACACTACAAGATCGAATGTATGATCATATGTTTTTCTCAATTAGAGTTGCAGCGTTGTGGTTATCATGAAATAAGTCTTAATAACATAAATCCAATACACTATCTTAGCAAACAACAATAAAATAAACCATAACAAACACGTTCATGTTAGCCAGATGACAATTTTTATTTTTTTTTGCAATCCAAAAGAAAATAAAAATCAATAGGAATTTCCTTAATCATGAGGTGATCAAAAGCTTGGAGTACTTGGATTCTGTTTGTCTCTGCAATTGAATTTCCTTCAACTGTATGCATTTGCAGCAAAAGACCTAATAATTACAAAACGCATACTAAATGTAAGGAGGTACAATATATCAATGAATAATATAAATACTAAAAGTATAGGTGATTTATATATATTTTTTTGCAATAGAAAAATATTTTTTTTGTATTTGATTCTGACCTTAAAAATGATGGCGTGTTGGTTGTAATAGTGGTGGTGTAGGTGATGGGAGAGTGAGTGGAGTAGTGATGGCAACCTTAAGAATAATGGTATGTTAGAGCAACTCGAACTCTTAATTTTTATTTTTGTCAAATTTAAATTTGATAAAAAAGTGTTCAAAAATCATATCCAATCTATTTATCAAATGTAGGGTAAGGCTATGGTACACATTTTTTGTAGTATATTTGTTATGCATTTTTGTGATAAATGTTATGTAATTTTTTCATATAGTTATGATAATTTGTATTTCAGAAATAAAATTACATATTTTGTGGTAATGCTAAGCATTTTTGTGGTAATGTTACAAAATTTTTTGTTAGAAAATGTTTGAATAAAAAAAATATAACATTATCACAAAATGTGTAAGTTAATTTCTAAACCACAAATTGACGTAATTTTACTAAAAAATTACATATTATTTATCATAGAAATACATAATATTTATTACAAAAATACATAATGGGGTGTATAAAATTTCTCTCCACATATCCATCAAATCAAGGGAGAAACATTTTTTTTTTTTGCATCAAATTAAAATTTGATAAAAATTTTAAAAATGGAGTATTGAAGATGATTTTTTTTCCATCAAAAACTTGACCAAGGATAAATAAACATTGCAATTGAGTTGGGGACAAACCTGGAATTTAATTGAATTGAATTGGCAAAAAAAAAAAAAAACACAACTCAAATAACATGATTTGAAAACCTAAAATTTAAAAAGAGTTTTGAATTTTTTTTTTTAATCCAAATCATGATTTGAAAACTTAACCAAACGCTACCTTTATCTTTCAAACACAATTCAAAACTCAAAACTAATTTCAAAAACTAAACCAAACGGAGCTATATTTTTTTATAAGTTTGTTTAGTATGAAAGTAATGGAAGTAATAAGGAAAATATAAGAAAATTTAAATTTGTTATAAAAGTAATCATTTATAATAAAAATTCTTATTTTCTTGTAAAATTTTCATCCTAATCAAATTCATACAAAAAATTTATTTTATTTTATTTTATTTTCCTTTTCTTTTCTTTCACTCATTTTTACTTTCTATCATTTATTTCTTTTTAATCAGACGCAACCTAAGTAGCATGATAATTTATTTTAAAACGTGACATTTTTAGTCCCTAAAATATGCATTTTTTTGTTATTTTAGTCCCTTAAATTTTAATTATCAAAATTGTCAATATAAAAAGTAAAATAATAAAATTAAAATGACAAATAATCGGCTATGGGGTCACTACTGTGCTAAAAGCACAGCAATGACTGTGGTGCCTCTAATTGAGGTGTATTCTGGCCTTATTTTTATGATCCAAACCATTAATTTTGTAGGGTTTATTGAGTACTTCATATCTACCAAAAATCATATTAATCGGATATCAACAACTATGTGATCGATAACCAAAAAAAATAAATAATAAGTTTTTCTTTTGAGAAATAGCATAAACAATATGCAATTCAATCATATTGTTATTGATATCCGATTAATATGATTTTTGGTAGACATGAAATACTCGACAAACCCTACAAAGTGAACAATTTAGATTATAAAAATAAGATCATAATACACCTCAAATGGAGGCATAGTGACCCCAATAATAAGGCGTCCTAAAAACTCTCCTATCCTAAATCTACTCTTTTTAACTCTGAAATAAAGAAACACAGCAATTCAGTTGGGGTCAAACCTGAAAGTTAATTGAACTGGCATTCAACTTTGAGATTCATTTTTATCTTCCCTAACCCTTGCGTTTTCCACCTTCCGATTGAAATATTCTTCAAGATTGCTGATACGAGTAACATGAGCTACTTTTTCGATCCGAGACCAGAGCTCGACATGAGGGATATGCTCAACAATCCAATAGTCCTTTCCTTGGTTGGGTTTGGGTTTGGGTTTGGGTTTCATTCTATCTATGAATTCTTCTGGCATATCAATAAACCAAAGAGTTTTGAGATTTGTGAGGTGGTGGATGCCAGATGGTACCTCCTTTAGTTGCGGGCTAGGCCCAATCATTAGCTCTTCAAGAAGAGGCAATGCTTCGTCCTCTATTAGTTGCGGGCTAGATTTTGAAGTTTCGAGATCCAGTCGGCCAACCCCTCTAAACATCCACCCAACTCGAGACGTTGAAGATATTGAGGTGGAGATGATATATACTGTAAATCCAGAATCTCATCATCACTTGAGGCCACCACTCTCAAAGTTTTAAGGTATTTCATATTCTCAATGGCTGCACTGCACATAGAGCCCTCCCCCTCCCATGCTCTCTTTCCAGTTTTATAATTCCCAACTTCCTTAGTTGCCTCAATTTCTCAAGCTCTTTAATTAGGCCATCATTTGTCTCCAACTTCCTTAGTTGCCTCAATTTCTCAAGCTCTTTAATTAGGCCATCATTTGTCTCTACAGACCACAAACTTTGCAGCTCCTCTAAACCCCCAATCCCTCCCTCTATTTTCACTCCTAACCCTAAGGATATACTTTCATCGTTATAAGAATAGGCAAGATGTCGCAACTTATGTAGCCTACTGGTATCAAATGGGAGCTCTCTCACAAAGGAATAATTCATATCCAAAGTCTGTATGTTTTGCAACTTGCCTATGGACTTTGGAATTATCCCCACATTTGTTCTCCTTATGCTTAGGTATCTCAAAAGAAATAGATTTCCCACTTCCTGATGAAGTTGATCCAAAGGAGCATCCTGAAGATCCAATGTTTTCAAAAGCTTGAAATTTGCAGCTAGTGTACCCAATAAGGGCTTCTTTGGTAGCTCTCCCACTCCCACTTGAAAAAGAAAAACAGCACCAACTGGAGATTTAATAATGCTTTCCATAACTTTATCCATAGTGCAGCAATAATGCATATGCATAGATAGTCGGCGAGTTGTGTCATTGAAACTTGAATTCTCTTCTTCCATAAGTTGACAGAAACTAAACTCCTCTAACATTGGGAGAATGATTTCATGCACTATATCATGTACCCGACAATCTCTAACTCTTCCATCAATTTTTGTTGTTGACACTTGAACTAAGCATCTATTGATCAACTCAGTCAGGTATTCTTCTGCAACTTCTTCCAATGTGTTTCCTTTCCGCTCTTCAACTAAACCCTCAGCAATCCACAACCGAATTAGTCTTCCACGGCTAATAGAGTAGTCCACCGGTATTATGCCAAAGTACAAGAAACATGATTTCAGGTAGTGCGGCAGATCATTGTAACTGAACAACACAATTTTTTTTATGCTTGTAAGATTCCTTCCTAACTCAGAGCCTAGTTTGTCAGAGAACTTTTGCCATTCGGATATATCCTTTTGTTTGATGGACAAGAAAGCACATATTGCCACAATTGCAAGTGGCAATCCTTCACATTTTCTAACAATTTCATGTGATACTTCCTTCAACTCAGGGGGACAATGACCTCTAAATGCTTTACTGCAAAAGAGTTTCCAAGCCTTCTTTTGGGATAGGGGTCAAAGTTTGTGAACATTTTTCATTGAAGGTGCTACGCTTGAAGCAGCGACTTCATCATTACGTGTGGTGATAATTACTCTACTGCCTTTGCTATTCTCAGGTAAAGCAAATCTTATGAATTCCTAAAAATCAGTTTTCCATACATCATCAAACACAATGACGTACCTCTTTTCCTTTAAATATTCTCTTAGCTTGCCAATGAGTGACTTCTGGTCCATTGAATCAATTCCTTTATCAAGTGGAACTTCTTTTTCTAATAGCTTCTTTATCATGGTTTTGGGGAGCTCACCTGGCTTGTATGATTGAGAGATCCTGAACCATGCTTTGCAGTCAAAGTGTGTATTCACTTGTTGGCTGTCGTAAACTTTCTTGGCAAGTGTGGTCTTGCCAACTCCAGCCATGCCTACTACTGAGATCACTTCCCGTTGTGATTGTTCTTCCAACAATTTTTTTATCAGTTTATCTGTGGCATGTTCCAAGCCAACAACTTCGTCTTTTTCAAGGTAAAGGGAAGCCAATCGAGGGTCATGCCAATTGTTGTCTTTGGTGCTGCTGCTTTGTTCTGAGTCAGTAGTACTGAATTTATATCGATCAGCTCGTTAATTGTAGTCTTGATATCTTGGATTTGTGAGGCTATTTCATGTCGTTGCTTTAGTCTAGTGATCGAGTGAGTGACTTTACGGAAGTATCTGATGATGAAACCGCAACGTCGAGGCTGCTGCTTTGCCAAGTGAAGAAGTATATATTCATCAATAACGTCTTCTATCCGATAAGCAACCCCCCTTACGTCTTTCACCCATATTTTCTCGCCTTCCTTTCCTACATCTGCCTTTGATTCTGCATCTTTTAAGAAAGATCGTATGTACTCCAATTCAGATTTGATAATGTCCATTTCCTTGCGGACACCCTTCAACAGCTCTACTTCATGGGCTAACAATGGTCCCAAATATTGAATAACAGAGCTCACTGCACTTGTTGCCATTACATCTCCCCGCACTGCACTGAAGACACCGCCATCACAATCAGTTTTGATTATGTTTATTAGTAGTGTGTGACTGTGTCCATGTAAAACACAACTTAGAAAACTCACTCCTAACTTCTTTATTATTTTGGCACATTTTCCTTCAAAAAGTTATCTATGGAGAAAAAGTATACATGCTCATGCCCTTTATATTTAAAAAATAAAAAATAAAAAATTTAAGTGGTCTCCTCTCTATATTTATCAAACATGGTAGTCAAAACATGAAATTAAAAAATGTAGACAAACATAACAAAAAATTAATTTCTCATAAGAAGGTATAACGTGTGGAGAAGACAAGAAGGTGGAGGAGGATTCTGGAAATTACTAAATCACATTCATTCAGAAAATTTTAATGTTGATTCTATCATAGATGTCTTTAGTGTCATTAAAAACCATCAAACACAACTCAAAATGTCTCACTTCAATAGACAAATTGTTTTACAGTTGCTAAATTTTGTAACTCAATGTAGATATAAGAAAACGTGTTTATTGATACATATTTTCATATTATTTTTCACTTTTTATGTTGGTAGAAATTGATCTTGTAGTCTATACATTTAAGAAAAATATATTTTGTTTGCAGAAGAAAAAACAAAATAAATTTACTTGGGTCAAGCAAAAAAAAAAAATGCAAAGAATAATACTTACATATTCATAATTTCTTACCAGAATTTTATCCACAAAAATGAATATGTTATCCAAATTCATTCCAAGTATAACTCCACCACACAAGAATTGAATCTAAAGCACACGTTATTTTAAAATTATGACTACAAATTCTGAATATTTAGCTTTAACCAAATGGAAAATTTGAACTAACTTTAATGTAGAATCCCTCTATTATTCCTTAGTTTTGTCTTGCTTTCCGTCCTCTAATCAATACTAGACAAACCTTCTTAATTTGTCTCCTCTACACATGACTTAGCTAGCTTTAATTCTGTCAGTTATTCAGTAGTCCCGTAGAATCATCTAGTGTTGCCTACATGATGCTCCAAATCAACCACTTAGCGAAAAATTTTACGGGTGGGACATGCTAACTCACATTTGTTAAGTAATTAAGAGATAAAGAATGACCCACTTAGTCTATGTTGTGATTTCTCATTTGCTGAGAGTACCACTTAAACAATGTCACATGATACTCCGAAAGTATCTAATAATTTTTCCTTTGTTAAATAACTTGAAACTATGAGGATTCAAGGAAATCCTAGTGAATTCTAAGGAATCCTAATGAATTTTAGGTCATGCCAAGGTGAAGATTTCAGGTTCTCTTTCCTCATTTGTTTGACTCTTTGGAATGGCTTCCTTGGAATATGAACATGGGTCTGGCTTCTAGGATATGGAAGAATATTCTAAGTAATAACCTATTTTTTGAAAATTGAGGAATGGCAATATGACAAGATTTTCATTTGATAATTGGGTGGGGAATTATGATTTTAAGAACTTGTTGACTGACCAACAAGAGTGGCAGATCGTTTTTGCAATGTATGTTGATGATGAAAGTAATGGGAATTCGAGATTGAGTTTTAGAGGAACTCTTTTTGAATGGGTAAGAAAATTGTTGGAGGAGCTCAATAGCATGCTTAGCAATATGATGTTTGTGACAAAGCAAGAAGATTGCTTGTTCTGGAGGGGTGATAACAGTGGTATCTTTACAGTTGGTTCGAAGTGTAGTCTTGCTGAGTCTAGCTTGGTTCAGATGCAGAATCCTTGGCAAGCTATTCTCGTTCTCTGTCCTTTCTGTGCCTGCCATGAGGAGTCTGCTGATCATGTCCTTTTGCAACATGTTCTCCTTCACATGGTGGTTTGATTCAGGTTTTGACGATTTTATGAAGCAAATTTGGGAATCATTTTTTTTTTGTGACAATGTGGTTGTTATGGCTGACAAGGAGGAACAAGATCATTTTCAAGGATCATGAGGTTTCTTGGACAAGGTTTTGGAGTATATCAAAGTAAGGACAGCTTTCTGGGTGAAATCTGAAATCAGGAGTGATTGTTTTTCCATCGACAACTTGTTGTATGACATCAAAGCAGTGCAAATTCTCAAATTGAAGGATATTACAAGCATGGATTAACCATTTGCTTGGATTGCATTCATGAGCAATTCCAAGGTCTTTTGGAGCTGTTTTGTTTTCTCTGTGCTGATTTTGTGATTTTTGGTTTCTTTCTTTATTTCTTTTTTGTTGGCTCCTTGCCAACTTGTCTGTGCTGATTTGAATGAACTTTAATGTAGAATCCCTCTATTATTCATTGGTCTTGTCTTGCTTGTTTTTGGTTTTGTAATGCTATTACAAAATTAAATGGGCATGCATGCATGGCTGTTGAATAGAGAAAACTACTGATTGTTAAGTTGGCAGACTTTAGTATGAAAAATGGGAGAAAGGTTGAATCTATTCATTCAAAGCAGACAAGGAGAGATGTATGCTAGCTCCATGAAGGCTAATATAATGTAATGTGATAGGAGGAAAATCGATTCCACAAAATATATGGGATATTGAATCAAGACCTACTGCTGTTGCTTTGGCTCTGTGTCGACAGTACAATACAGAGAAGAGAACAATGCCGTTTTACCTTCGCATTCAACATATGTGGTGAAGAGTGTACAACAGAGATGTACTAAGAACAGGAAAAAGAAATCACAAGAGTGCTGAAGAGAGGACAATTGGTGGAGCTAAGGGTTGATAAAGAGGAGGTAGACGCAAAGGGAATTCATTAAGGGACATTGCCACTGCCAGTGCTGCTGCTTTATCCGTTTCCACAGAAGGCATTGTTAATCACAACAAGATTCTGCTAAATGAAGCTGAGGCAGTGTGGAAAATTGGAAAGTTACTGGGAATCTGGGATTAAGCTATGAAGGAGGGGACAATGAAATTGTGAGTCCAATCCGTGTTACGGAGGAAGAGAATGGCAGGTAACTTGATCGGCATAGCAAGGACGAATACCCAAGTATATAAGTAGTTCATTTGTTCTTACCTAAGGTTAAAGGGTTTTTTTATTTTATCAATGAAGCTATTATCATGGAATGTCAGAGGTCAAGTGAAGAGGGAGAAGAAAACAGTGAGACTTAAGTGGTGGTGGCTGAAAGGAAGATCGATTTCTTGCTGCCATAGTGGCAGAAACTACTTGGGGAAGATGAGATGTACATTATGAAGCTGAAACATCAATGGGATTATGAAGAGGGTTTAGTTTTTCACTGTGTTTTGGGGTGTTTGAGAGATGATATTTTTTTGAAGATTGGGCATTTAGAGGTTTTTTGTATTGATTTGGATTGGCAGTTGTAATTTCTTTCATTTAGGAGTTCGGATTTTTATTTATTTAGGAGTTTTGGTGGCACCTTGGCATTTTTTTAGTGTTTTTGTGGCCTTTGGATATGCAATCGATGATGTATTTTTCCTTAGCCATTCTGGATGTACTCTCTTTGTATTCATTTGTTATACATCAGTGTATTTCTTTTTTGCCTATCAAAACAACTAGGTTGGCACGTGTTCTATATGCAAGCCAAAACCCAACCAAAAACAAAAGACAACAAACAAGACACCAAAGCCTTCACTAACCCATCAGCACAACTTAAAAAGGTCCACAGCAGCAAAACAAAGACAAAAAATAGAACAGTCTTGAAGTAAAATCAGCATCACGAAGTCCTCCCTTGTTGATCCTTTAATGCAAGCTCATAATGCATCTTTACGAGCTAAGTTTGTCACCCCCTGCTTGACTCATATTAGATTCTAATTCGATCAGTTATTCATTTCTTGTAAATGTTTGCGGGGGCTCTGAAATACTCGACCTAATAAGGCAAAGTTTTGAAATTGGGTCCTTCATACATAATTTTAAAAAAAATGTTTGGATAAAATGATAAGTATTTACAATTTTTTTTATTTGCTAATATCCACACAAATTCTACTTATATATAATCACTAAAATTATATATTAAATTTTATTTACATAAATCAACATATGAAGAAATCATTACAATAATTAAAAAATATGAAATTATAGTCTTATTGCTTTATGATTTAATAAATCTAGATTACAACAAAAGAAAAAAAAAGAATTAAATAAAATATAAACTTATAATACAAAATAAAAATTAAACTAACCACAGTAAATTATTAATTAAATAATACTTTTATCGTAATTTTAAATGTCAAATTACTAATTAAGCATTCATAATTTAATAAGGTCCTCTAGTTTAGATTGTGAACTTCGATGTGTTGAATTGAATCATTATTTTTTAGCCTACCAAGGTCATAAGAGCTAAAATTAGTTAGAGTTCAGGATTAGAAGTTTCGACATAACTCAAACCTTACACGAATTAGCAAGTTAAGCTAATAAGATTTTTTTTCCCATTTAAGATATGTATTATTTGTTACTTATTTCAGAGTA